GAGTGATATCGAATTTCTGTTTTCCCTTGTTTATAATATATAGTTGTGCAGATTTCAGTAGAAAAGATAGATCATTATTTACTACTCTTTGCTTCTATTACAGATTGAAGCTCAACTTTCTAATACATAGATCATTATTTACTACTAGTGGTGATTTACCATCAATACAATTATTATTATTATTTTTTTGTCTTCTTTTGTCCAATGGCCATTTAGGCAACAGTATTCCCTCTCCTTCCTCGGGCAACGATGGTGATGAAAACGGGGTTGTGGTCTTAATTCTATGAGCTGGTTTGCCTGTCACTACATTATTTGGTGGCCACATTAACTAGCATGAAATATATTTAATCAAAATTTAGAGAATAGGCATTACTTTTTTCTAATTGGTTTTGAATTACAATATATTTGTTCTTTTTTCTAATTGTTTTAGCTGGAGGGGAAGACAGGCCAGGGGTCCTCTATCCTTCAAATTTTTGTGTATCCTAGCTGGTCTTGTTTCTTGAGAAAGCAGTCCTGGCACCAGAATCACCTGTACCACTTTGCATTGCATGAGAAAATGCTTGTATATGTATAAAAATTATATTGAAATATGTAAAAATTATATGTATCAAAATTTTAATCTTTTTTGGATATTATTTTATTGTAACCAACTTTTATTAGGTGGTCGTTAGCAGGATTCTTAAAAAAACCTATGATACTACCAAGAAGCTTGACAATAATGCTATATTTACTATATTTTTGTACTACATTTAATTTATCATTTTATAAATAAACTTTGTATATCAGCAAGACGAAACTGCAATATTAATTAGTAATGTCAAAGCCAAATCAATTTAGTTTAGCCGTGAGGAAGAGCATTCATCCACAATAAGAATAAGCAATCACATGCATAGGAGACAATGATTTGCAGTGGAAAAAACTCTCCAATAGAGAAGGTTTTCAACCCACTGTGACATAATTCACTAGCTTACGCAAATAACCCAAGTTAGAAGTTCTGAACTGGCACAAAATGTAGATCATCAAGTAGACAATCCCCCTTTCAAAGTCATGGAATGTAAGATCATACTGTTCATTCTTTGATTACAGTTACTCTGAATCTGCCAAGTAATCATTTATATGCCCCAAAATGATAGTTCTCTACTCAACAAAGCATATTTGACGTGGACAAATTTTATTATAACAATACTATGTAAGAGTATTTCTTTATGTAGCTTACGCCAATAACCCAAGTTAGAAGTTCTGAACTGGCACAAAATGTAGATCATCAAGTAGACAATCCCCCTTTCAAAGTCATGGAATGTAAGATCATACTGTTCATTCTTTGATTACAGTTACTCTGAATCTGCCAAGTAATCATTTATATGCCCCAAAATGATAGTTCTCTACTCAACAAAGCATATTTGACATGGACAAATTTTAGTATAACAATACTACGTAAGAGTATTTCTTTATGGACCATTGTTTTATATATGCCATTAAGTATATGGCAATAGTCTTGACGTGCATGAAATTAACATATCATTGGATCTAAAGTCAAAAAATAGGTGCCAAGGTTGCATGTCACTTTTCCTTAATAAAGTCGGTTGCATCACTCTAAAAAATTCTCTTTTCAATGCTTGTTTATTACATCTCCATCTATAATTTTCCACTTTTATGTCTATTTTTTCCAATTTCTCTTGGACTTGTAATTCACCTTGCATTGAACTAACTGGGATAAGTATTTCATTTTTTATGTTCTCCCATCAAATCGGTAAATAACTAACTGGGATAAGACCACCTACCTATTTGAGAGAAATTGGACGAATAAGTATCATGGTACATGAATACGTAGGTATTATATTTAGAGTTACTTTGATGAGATATTTTTGTGGATGTGTACAGATGATGGATAAGAGTTGGATTGATTTGCCAAATAGGATGTCGAGCGAATACATTAATGGGATTGATGAATTCCTTTTGTTTGCCTACACCAATAGGGTTGAAGGTTCGATGATCAGTTGTCCGTGTAGGAAGTGCGAGAATCGATACTATTTTGTACGAGAGGGTGTACGGGAGCATCTGATTTTGAATGGTTTTTTTAAAAAAAACAAACATTGGATTAATCATGGGGAATCTTACGTATCTGTACATGGAAATCGAGAGAATGAAACATTGCTAAGCCCATTTGATCCTATGTCAATCGGTGGTTGGGACCCACTTTAATTTCACATTAAAGTCACCATAAAATCATTTTTCCAACAATCCCCCACATGAATAAAAATTGACCAAATGA